CCGATGTTTTCAAATTATCTATTCGTTTATTTTGACGGAGACTTCTCGGCTTTTCTCCGTTAAATCATTAACATTAATTAGCGAGAGAAAATATCCATTAATTAATAATTATAATCAATTTTAAATCAATGAAAATCGAATCGCCGTGTACCAAATATCTTCCCCAATCACAGCCTTCCTCTTTCCTTGTCCTTGATGGTGCCTTCCTTCTTCTTCTCGACCCCTCTCTCTTCTCTCTGTTCCCTCTAGTCCATCGATTTTAACCTCTCCCCAGATTCTCCTTCTCCTTTGACTTTTCTTTGACATCGCTAGTCGCTTTCCCCTTTCCATCGATTTAGGGTTTCCGCTTCCTCACCTTCCAGTTTCTCTCGCCTCTTTCCTTTTCGTTTATAAAGTCTCGTTTTTTTTTCTTCATCTCCTTCTACAATTCCCCGTCTCGATTCGCTATTTTCCCTTTTGGGTTTCGAATTTCGTCTTTGATTAGGGTGTTTGATCCGATCTCCAATCGAAAATTAGCTTGAAGAGAGAAGAACGGTTTATATATATATATATGTTGTTTATTGCTTGGATCGTCTAGGATTTTTAATTGTGTTATGATGGTGGGAACTCAACGTTTAGATGGTTCGTTACCGCCTTTGAATTCCCCTAAAAGCTATGGAATTACGAAGCCGCTCTCGCTTGCTGGGCCTTCTTCGGCGGATATTAAGCGTAATGTCGAGCTTGAGAAGGTAAGCTTAGTTTGTTGTGTTGAAAGGATTCGATGCTTATGTTTTTGGGTTTTTTCCTGATTTACTTTTTTGTGTATGTGAAAGTATTTGGTTGATGAGGGACTCTACGAGAGCAAGGAGGACACCATGCGGAGAGAGGAAGTTCTGGGGCGCATTGATCAGGTGACTCACCATAAGAACAGTCTTCTTATTTGGTTGTTAGGCTTATCATGTTTCTGTATTGACAATTGTACAACGACTTTTGAACAAAAATTGTGTATTTTATAATGGTCGTTTGTCTTTCACTGTATTGGTTCGTACTCGTGTTTGGTCTGGTTGTGGATTGTGGGATCAGCATATGTTCTTGTGTCCTTGGATTTAATAATTTGCTGTTTTGAGTTTTCTTCACATGCTGCACATTGTATTTTCTTGATCCAGGTTTTGTTTGAAGTGATTACTGTTTTCATCTAATTTTTTTCTTCATACTTTAGATTGTGAAGCACTGGGTGAAACAGTTAACGCAGCAGAGAGGCTATACGGATCAGATGGTGGACGATGCTAATGCTGTGATTTTCACCTTCGGATCTTACCGGCTTGGAGTAAGTGCTTCATGTTTATCACTGCCTTGTCTTTATCTTGAAGCTAAAATGCAGATAATAGGGTCGTTTTGTGGTATTGAGCTTATTAACTTCTGAAATAACTCAAGTATTAGCTCTGTTTTTGTCTCTGTAATGCAATCCCTGTCTCTGAGGGTGAAAAAACTACAATTTTGTTGACTTGCAGGTACATGGACCTGGGGCTGACATTGATACTTTGTGTGTTGGGCCATCTTACGTTAATCGGGAGGTGACTCTTGCTATTTTCCTCTTGTTGATGCAACAATTTTGTATTTTCTTAGTTCATAACACTTAATTTTGCAGGAGGATTTCTTCATCATCTTGCATGATACATTGGCTGAGATGGAAGAAGTCACTGAGCTTCAACCTATTCCTGATGCCCACGTTCCGGTCATGAAATTTAAGTTTCAAGGAATTCCTATTGATCTGCTTTATGCTAGCATATCACTTTTAGTTGTGCCACAGGTAATATTATCTGTGAATCAAATGTTATCCTTTTTCAGTTTTTGCTGAAGCTGCAGGGGTGATATGTGATAACTTTATGCTATTATACACAATATGATAGATTTTGTGCTTGTTTGCATGTTTGGGACGACAGAAGTGTACTATTTTCCACTAAGGGCTGATGAATTAAAGAAATTTATTTTAGAATTTCTGGTTTGAGATAGAGAGCTGAGAAGTTTGCTGCTGTTATTAGTTCATCAGTCTTGATTTGTATATCAAAACTGATCCCATGACCTGTCATGATAGTTTATAATTGCTTGCTGAATCAGATCTCTTGCTCTCATGTTTTGATTAATTGACAGGATCTGGATATCTCCAACTCTTCTGTGCTGTGTGATGTTGATGAGCCAACCGTTCGGAGTCTTAATGGTTGTAGGGTTGCTGATCAAATTCTTAAACTCGTTCCAAATTTTGAGGTAAAGTCGCATAATGCTAGTCGTTGTGTAAAATATTAATGAACCATTGTTACCTTCTCTGATCTTATGAGCAACTGTAGCACTTCCGGACAACATTAAGATGCCTGAAGTACTGGGCTAAGAGGCGTGGGGTCTATTCAAATGTAAGAACATACCTTTATGAAATTACTATTAATTTCATGTTTAAGCTCTTATCATCTTTCTCATTTTTGGCAGGTGACTGGTTTTCTGGGCGGTGTAAATTGGGCACTTTTGGTTGCTCGTGTGTGCCAGCTCTATCCAAATGCAATTCCTAGTATGCTGGTTTCTCGTTTTTTTAGAGTATATACTCAATGGCGGTGGCCGAACCCAGTCATGCTTTGTGCAATAGAAGAGGATGAGCTTGGATTTCCTGTCTGGGACCCTCGTAAAAATCATCGCGACCGGTATCATCTTATGCCAATAATAACTCCGGCTTACCCATGCATGAATTCTAGTTACAATGTCTCTCAAAGCACTCTTCGCGTTATGACAGAGCAGTTCCAGTTTGGTAACACTATCTTGCAGGTCAGAGAGTAAAACTTTTGTGTTGTTTCCTCAACCATTTATTCAGGATCCTGTTGCTTATGCATAACTTTTAATTCAGGAGATTGAATTAAATAAACAACACTGGAGCTCTTTATTTGAACAATACATGTTCTTCGAGGCATACAAAAACTACCTTCAGGTTGATATAGTAGCAGCAGATGCAGAAGATTTATTGGCTTGGAAGGGATGGGTGGAGTCGCGGTTCAGACAGCTGACCTTAAAGGTAGATAGCTCATTTTGATTTTACTGCATTAAACTTGCTGTATCTTCAGTGTTTGTTCATATTGGTTTTTGTATAAAGAAATTTTATCGGAGGGTTCTCGATCTCTTTTCTTTTAATTCAATAATGCAGATAGAAAGAGACACACATGGAATGTTAATGTGCCATCCCCAACCAAATGATTATGTAGATTCGGCTAGGCAAATTCTGCATTGTGCCTTTTTCATGGGGTTGCAGAGGGCAGAGGGAGTTGGGGGTCAAGAATGTCAACAGTTTGACATACGTGGTACGGTTGATGAGTTTAGACAAGAAGTAAACATGTATATGTTCTGGAAACCTGGGATGGATGTGTTCGTTTCTCATGTTCGTAGACGACAGCTGCCACCTTTTGTTTTCCCAAATGGATATAGAAGGCCTCGGCAGTCCAGGCACCAGAATCAACAGGGTGGAAAACCTGGTGAGGATGGCACTGTTCCGAATTCCAGCTCTGTGGTGGAGAGGCATGTTAAGAGAAAGAGCGAGGATGAAATTATGGATGCAAGACCAGATAAAGCTGAGAAGCGTGCATCTCTTAGTCCACAGAGTCTAGACATTGTTTCTCCTGAAAATAGTGCTATCACTACTGGTTGGACCCCTCCTGTTTGCAACCTTAGAAGGCTACCTAGTGAAGAAATTGAGGCTGTAAATTTGAATATTGAGGGTACTGAACTCACAAATTTTGCTCGAGATGGGTGCAACTCTGGCAGCGAGCAAGCTCTGGAAGTAGATAATATGGCTCCAGTTCAAGAATGTTCTGATCCAGCTAAGTCTTTTGGAAAATGTGTTACACCTGATTCTAGTGATGTGGTAGCATGTGAAAGTGGGCAGGAAGAAATCTTAAATCGTGCTTTGATGAGGTCTGTATCGATCAGTGGTACTGACTCCCAACTTCCTTCGAAGCTACTAGATATGAAAGGTTTTGTCGATGAAGTTGAGAGGGAATCAGTGACATTTAGTGGTACGAGGACAACTTGTGAAGTTACTGATAGTGTTCAACTGAGCAGATCTTGTGTGGAAAACCGTGATTATGAGGTGAGTTTTTTCTAGTATGTTAGGTCTTCTGGTGTGTTATCAGATAATTGGTGATAGTTGCTTGAACGTACAGTGCATAGTGATGACGGTTTTTTACAGGGTTTCGGGTTTCCTGCTACAAATTCAGATACTTTTCTGGGAAAGGAGAATTTGTACTCTCAAAGTGGCACACCGGAAGACCTCCAGGTTATTAAGCCTACCTCACAGTAGTTGCCATAAGTTTAATTCTTTCAAAAGACTTTCACATATCCATAGCTGGTTTAGAAAGGCGAGCATCAAACCTTGATACTACATATAATATTGAGAGGGATCTCATACTTGGTTTCATCATAGTCAATAAAAAAGGATGAAGCTATGTATGAATTTTGATGGTAGTCCTTTTCCAAAACATAACTACCTCTTGCTACTTAAGAGGTCAATATTTCTGTTGTGTTTTCTCTTGCCTTGCGTGGTTTATGCATACCTGCCTAACTAGTGCATATATGGTTTGGCAGGTCCTGCAATGCAATGCTTTGTTCTGTATATCAAAGAAACTCCACTTTAAAATTATTGAATAGATTTTTCTTTCTTCCTTGAGTTTTAATGAGGACTACTACAACTAACTTGTGATTTTGCTCGTTATCTTTTCTAGGCAAACTCTTTGGTCAGCGGGATGGAGAAGTCAGAAGACAGAGCTAGGTCAGAATCTTTGCAGAAGCCAAGCATAAGGCATGTGTGTTTAACAACATCATGATTTCTTTATGTTATCGTTTTTTTTTGTTTTGGTGTCCCATTGGTGCTTTTATAGCAGCAGCAGGTTGAGCTTAAAGTCGACTGTGTGAACATCCTCTTTAGGCTATTGACGTGATATCCAGACTCATCAAGAAAACGGGAAACTCTAAATGTTGCGGTGGACAGACAGACAGACAGACCGCGCGTCCGAAAACTTTGGTAAGTGAATTTTATAATATGG